TATGGTTGCAAATATCAAAAAATTTCTATATGTGACACGGCACCAGAGTTAAGTTAGGGTTTTTCAAAATGCTGACACGCCGAGCTCAAAAGGTTCGCCATCACTGTCCTAAGGCTATAACTGATATTCATCATCTCCCTTCTCCACCACCCATTCTAGACTTCCCTCACTTGTGTCCAACACTTCAGCTGCTTTATCTAGATTGGTTGTCTGATTGGTTGCCTACTTGGGAGAGGGTCTGAAGCTCTTAAGTTGAAAAAAATCAATAAAATATATTTAAAAAAAAAAAGTTATTGCTTTGCCAGGCACAGAAGTACTAGGAGCTATCTCAGGAAACCCTGCAATCCAGGAGTCGTCAACCAGGCTCCTTGAGGTAGTTAGAACTGCTATACTTTAACTCCTTTCTTTGCCAACTGGCCTCACATGGCCAGTGCAGTTAGGTACAGTCACAGTTTTCAGATCAGTGGAACCTTACTGGCAGAGCTAGCTCCTTGGAAATCAGAACCTCTCACATAACAAAGTCCAAAGTCTTAGGAACAAAAAGCACAAATTCCTCAAGGGGGTCACTGGATGTAATAGTGAAAGGTGCCACTTCTGCGTCCCTTGGTTCCTGGATGCATTCTTTCTAGCTATTGGGTATTAGTATCCTGTATTGGTCATTAGTTTAAAGAACATTATAACCTAAAGGACTGTACCACAACGTTGCCAAGTGTCCCCTAGTTTTGCGTTAACTGAGTTTCATGAGGCTTTTCCTCTATATTATCAGGTCAGCTGCATCTGGATTTGGGATGCATAGTAAGACCAGTAGACCATGGTCATGAGCCCATTGTTGCCCCCTCCTTCACCATAAAATGGGTCTCTTGTTCTGAGGAAATGTTGTAAGGGGTAACATGTCAATGCATAAGGTAATCTGCAGGCTCTCAGATGGTGGTACTGCCTGCAGCCGTGTGTGCAGGGAAGACAAACCCATATATTGATTGAGGTCAAGTCAAGTCTCTGCCACCTCCAAGGTAGGAGATGTGATATAAATTTACCTGCCACTAGGTGGATATCTGGCTTCCCTAAGGAATGCTGCTATATTGAGGGTTCAGCATCAGTTTTGCAGTTGGCCAGTTGGGCTCACTCAGCAGTGGCAACAGCTTTGGGACAAATCTGACTTAGACTTGGAAATTAGGTGAAGGTCTATGATTTTTCACCAAGGTGACCAAAGTCAGTCTTCTGCCCACCAGCTATTCTTTCTGATTATATTGATCAAGCAATAGCCTGCATGGCTGCTCATCTGTTTTAGCCTCGGTAGGGTAACACAGGTGTCAGTTAGACTAGGATGGTCTTGATGTATACCATGTAATCATTACTAGCACCCCTTCTTGCTCTCAAAAGTAGCTCAGTTTGGACAATAAATTATATGAATACTCTTTCCCTAGGAACTCTATGAGCTATTAGTCAGCACCATGAGTCCTGGCAGAGAAAGTCGCCCTGATCACTCCTCCACCTTGCTGTTCACTGCGATATGTCCACCTGGTCTTTTATGACTTAGTGCTCCCACCTGGCCTCTGCAATTCTGGGATTTTTGTCATTTTCACTAATAGTAAGGAGCTCAGTTACAGGGTGGTTTTCCCCAACCATCAACCCTGAACCAAGGACAGCCACTACCAACTCTTGTGGTGCTCTTGCACATCAGACTTATTACCGTCTCTCTTATGACCAGCAAAGGGATCTCTATTGATTTCAGACACGTAAGCAATGCACTCCCCATATCCATCCTAGAACCACTGGTGGAACCAATGGCCTGAGCTCAGTTTCCCTAGGAAACAGAAATCTGAAGCAAAAGTTAAATCTGATTGAGAAGGCCGCAAGAGTGAAAGGGGAAACGAAGTAGGCTAGGATGAGAAGCAATGCAAGTGGTGTGTTGTCATGCAGGCAACTGCTTCAGGACCAGCTGCAAAGAGCCATGGCAGGTTACTCAGTAGGTGCATCTCAGTAGCTCTGCAGGACATATCCGGGGAGGTTGTCCATAGGAAGGAGGAATGAAAGAGAATGCATCTGCCCAGCTCCCTCCCATCTCTTGTTTCTCATTGGTCAAAATGCTCCCCACAGGGAATTTCCTAGGGTGCATCATCTAGTCTCTTTGATGGCTGCCTAGAAGCCACATCCTGCAGTATGGCATTTCCTCTGAGTCCAGAAGTAGTGGAGGAGTCAGAGACTCCAGACATGTGGCTGGCCAGCCTGGCTGTGCAGCAGCGGCCAAGAAGGATTTGGCTGGGCAAGCGACTAGTCATTTCCCAGCGGCTGAACGGCACAGATTTAATTGGCTGTGGAGGCAGCTATGGAGCCAGCAGAAAGGCAAGGTCTAGCCGATGTGAGGAGGGACATAAGCTGTGTCTGATATACTCATTAATAGGCTATTAACACCAACAAGTGATGGAGCTAGAAAAATGATCACCAGGTTAGCATCTTGTCTTATTTACCTTAGAGACTCCAGCACCAGGCACTTGAAAAATGAGATGCTGTTTAAACCGTTTTTCTTGTTCCAAACCTTCCCACTACACCTCTCTGCTGTGCCAGTCATTATGCTAACGAATGGAGGTGACTATGCTCTTAGAGGTTGAGCATAGTCCCTGTTCAAATCACAAGTTGGCTCTGTCCCACTACATCACTGTTATTATTGACCCAAACTTTCAAAACCCATCATCTGTCAGGCCTGGGTTCATTTGAGACTTATGTAACACAAAGTACACAAGGAAAGGAAGAGCAGAGTTGGCTGGTCCATGCAACTCGCACAGCTCTCAAATGCACAAGGATTCTGAACAAAAGGGCTCTTCTGCCGCCCAGTCCCTCACTGGACAGCACAGTTCACTTTAGAAGCCTTCTTATCACCTTTTGGGAAAAGTAGTTAAGTCTCACACTTCTCTTCATATGTCATGTGGCCTCCCACTGCATCCCACCGCCCAGGGAAGAAGAGAATGCACAGCTGGAATACTGGACATGAAAACAAAAGCTTTTCGTTGAACTGTCGAGGAGTCCTGATGTGCCTGGGGCAGGAAGATGAACGGATAACCCCTCTCTGGTCCCTAGGATTCTGATTCAGGCAGGGCAGGATCCAGGCCTTGGTTTAACAGGGTGATTGTAGTTGTTTGGACCTGGCCTGAGTGCCCACACTGGGAATCAATACCAGGGAAGGTGACACTTGCCAGACATTCTTCGATGTTCACCAACGGGTCTGATCACTTGAGCTTTGAGAGCTCAGTTTTCTCCTGAGGGAGTGTGAGGCCAAATCCTCATCCTCTGCACACAAGTCTTCATCCTGAAATTCTAGTCTCCTGGACTTGAAACTCCAGGGAAGTGAGAGAAAGGGACAGATCTGAGAGATGGGTGAGAAAAAAGGGAGGAAGGATGCTTGAGATGAGAAAACAGATTGCTCGCTGAGGCAGGTTTTCTTTTAATCAGGAAATGAAAACGGAGCCAATTATATGGTGAGAGGGTCATTCCCCCCCAATTTCCTGATATTTTTCAGGTGATTCTCCCACTTGAATTATTCAGATAATTTCCAGAATGAGCCAAACCGTTTCCTTTGTGTTATTGGGACCTAAGTTATTATTCTCATTATTGAATGCATCAAGTCCTAGGCATGGGCTCTTGTCTGCAGCCATGCAGGGCTGGTCCAGAGTCCTGGGCTCCTCACCCATGTCCGGACTCTCAGCTATACCCAGTGACCTCTGCTGGCACTGGCCCCCTCGCCATGCCTCCCAGGGAAGAGAAGTTCCAGAAACTGATCTGTCATCAGTGGCTCTTTGACAAGTGCATTCTTAATTCTAGGTTAACTTAGCATCGCTATCACCACTGCTTTACCCTCTCAAAGCTGGCATGCTGGCTTGGAGTTGAAAGAGAAAGGAAACTAGAGACAGGTTCCTAAGTGCCCACAAGAGAGAGTCAGAGAGAATCACAGAACCTCAGAGCCAGAACAGACCTTGGAGAGTGAGGGGCTTGGCTTGCTCTCCTCTTCTCAGAAAGAGGAGCTAAAACCCAGAACAGGCAAGTGGTTTGTCCTGGGTCACACAGCTTAGCCCAGTGATAAATGTGGACTTAGAGCCAGCCCTCAGGTCAGCAGTCTGGTGCTCTTCCCATCTCTCCTTGCTCTTCTCTTTCTTTAAAGAAAAAAAAAAAAAAGAGGCCTTTAAGGAAAAGTTGTTCCAGTGGGGAGTGGGGAGGGATTTCCCCCTTCACCCTGACCTTGAAGCATCTCTCCAGCCCCTCCTCTAACTCTATAGTTCTGACCAAACGACCAGGGGGCGGCTGACCACCTGGGTTTTAGGTGTCAGCTTAGGTTTAAAGGACTTGATTAATCACGGCTAACGTCAGACAGTACATGACTGTGCCCCCTTGTTAGTTTGGGGTAATTTGTCATGTGGGATTAAAAAAGAGATTGCTTTGTACCTTTCTGTACAGCCCCTGCCTGAACCCCCTGACAGAGGCAGGTGGCTGTGTCCAGCCTTCCTCAGGGGATGATGCTCAGAGGAGAAGCCCTCCTCTACTTCTGGGTCACTTCCCAGGTGACTTGTCCTCTGCTTCTCACAGCTGCAAACCCTCGCAGTGCCACGAGCCCTGGGGGAACTCGGTCTTCCGTCTCTTGGACAAACGCTCCAGCCCCAGGACACGACCGCGATCGCAATTTCGCGTGGCCGTGCAGCTCCCCCTGCTCCTCCCCTCCACCCCCACCCCCACCCCCCAGGCCCGGGAACCTCGGAGCCAATGGGAGCGTCGCGAAACTCCGGGTTGTAGAGTTCCGAGCCCGGGACCCGCCCCTCTTTGTTGCGGCGGCCAATGGACGCATTCGGAACATCGGCGGCTGCCCGGGTGACTCGGTTATATGTCACAGAATAACATTCGAGAATGGGACTTGGAATGAGGGGCCGCCCGCCGCAGCCGCAGCAGCCCCAGCCCCAGCCCCAGGCCCAGGCCCAGCAGCAGCAGCAGCAGCAGCAGCAGCAGCAGCAGCCTCCGCCTCCTCCGCCGCCGCCCCCGCCGCCTGGAGTTGCGCCGCAGCAATGAGGCCGAGCGCCCGGAGGTGAGGTCCTGCAGCGGCGGCGCCCTTCCCGCGTCCCGCCTGCAGCCGGTCCCCCAGGGGAACTCGTGGAACGCGGGCGGGTGGACCTATTTCCACGGGAGCCTGGGGGCTCCGGGAGGGCTTCCTGGAAGCAGCGCGGCCGCCTTTGCAAGCCCAAGCGGCTACTGCGCCCTCGCGCCGACCCCGGGCGCTCACGTGCGGGCGCGTTCTTGGTGTGCTCGGCGCTCGACCCCATCGGGCGACCAAGCGCTGCGTGGAGCCGTGCGGGGACCCCCTGCTCCTTGACGCGGCACGAGCCGCCTTTCTCCCCCCGCTACCCGGTCCACTCCGCACCCCCCACGCCTCTTTATTTCCCTCCCGGTGTGTAGGTGTGCGTGACGCTTTGTGCCAAAATTCCAGTCGCCTTTCGAGGTAATTGCGGGGCTGGACGCTCGTAATTCAAATCTGTGGAGGGTCTGTCAGCGAGGGGGTGGAGGGGCGGGAGTGACGCGGGGACAGTCCGAGGCCCCACCGCCGTCGGGCACGGTGTCTCGGGTGTCCACTTACCGCGGTGCGTGCTGTGTCTCCGCTGGTTGCAGGCTCGGCCCGTAAGCGGAGCGCCCGCCGCCGCTCCCCCTTGGCGCGTCCCCGAGGCGGCGCGAAGCATGGAGGAGGCGGCCCCCCGCGGGGCACTGATCCCGCGCGCGCCCGCGCGCACACGCCCCCCGCCGCCGCCGCCGACGTCGCGCGACCCCCCGCCCCGCCCCCGCCCTCCCGGCCCCCGGCCCCACCATGACCGGCTCCGCGGCTGACACTCGCCGCTGCCCCCACCCCAAAGGCGCCAAAGGCACCCGGTCCCGCAGCAGCCACGCGCGGCCCGTGAGCCTCGCCACCAGCGGGGGCTCCGAGGAGGAGGACAAAGACGGCGGGGTGCTCTTTCACGTGAACAAGAGCGGCTTCCCCATCGACAGCCACACCTGGGAGCGCATGTGGATGCACGTGGCCAAGGTGCACCCCAAAGGGGGAGAAATGGTGGGCGCCATCAGGAACGCCGCCTTCTTGGCAAAGGTCAGTGGCTTCCGAGGAGGGGGGTGGGGTGGGCGGCGAGGGGACCATTTCGGTCTGTACAGGGCAAATAGAGGCACTATCCACGTCCCGGGTTCTGCTACGAACACCCTTCCTCTCCAGTCTTCCCCCCCCATCCCCAGTCCCTTTGCTTAATTGAGATGTTTGTCTTGGAAGCCTTAGAAATGGGGGAGGGGGAGGTGGGGGCTGGCTGTCCTGGGACTGTGTGGTCTCTTGTGCCAAGGTTTCCTTGAATCTCTATCCAAACTCTATTATTTATTTACTCACCCCCATGTTCATCCTCTTTCAGCAAGAGCTGTAGCCGCTCTGTTGCAGCGGCGATGCCAAGAATGCATAGGTCCCCTAGGGATCCCACCCTGCTTCTCCCCTTTGGAGTCTCCCCCTTGCAAATGATTTATTAGGCTGTGAATGAATTTGACTCAACCAGTCAGACTTCTCAGCGTGAATCATTTCTAGACTTTTTGCCAATTTTTTTTTTATGACAGTGACTTTCACCTCTGAAACTTGCAAAAACAGTGAACTATCTCTCTTTTCCCAGCTTATCTGGGCTCCAAGAAAAAAAAAAAAGAAGTTTTGGCCATGCCTTAAAGGGGACGTTCCAGTCGACATGATGAATTAGTCTCACTGGATTGAGAAGGAGGCTCGGGAGTAGAACTCTTTTTACTTTTTTTACTTTGGAGAGAAGCCAGTGAGCTGATTGGGTTTGGTGGCCAAGGATCACTTAGCAAGACGGAGGGAGGGAGATGTGCAGTGGTCACTGTATGAAACATAAAATGCAAACCTGGGGGAGAAATGCTGCCAGAGCCTGGGGGGGTTGTAGCATGGCAGATGGTTTCCCTGGCACCCTGGGGACACTGGCATGGCTGAGAAGATTCCTGGGCAAGCCTAGGAATGCCAGACCTGAGACCTGGAAGGCCATCTGGTCGAGTCCCCAACCTGGAGCATCTGGTGACCTGAGCGTCTGAGCCCTACAGGCCAGAAAGCTGTGTGTGCCCTTGGGAGAAGTGGCCCAGCCGGTAAGCTTCCTGTCGCAGTCAGTCACAGTGTCTTATTACTCTGCCGGTCAAGGAGCTCTTCACTGTGCCCAAGGAGAGTCCTGCCTGCTTTCCTGTCAGCCGTAATTACCCTTGCTGAGACCTCCTTGAGCATGAGAACAACGTTGGTCCTGGCTTGTGGTTCGGGCTTTGTCCATACTTAAGTGAGCCTTCTTTACTGAAGGACGAGCTGGGAGCCCTTAAACCTGGAGGAGAGGTGGCCACAGGCAACAGAGGCCTGTTCCTACCACCCCGTGCTGCCTTTCTAATTCTGCACCCTCAGCGGCGACCCCGCTTCTAATTGTGGCTTCATCCTTCTCCAGATTTTGTGTGCAGTGACCCCCTTTCTCGATGGGAACCAGGGAATGTTAGTATCTCCCTTCCGCGTTCTGAAGACCTCCTGAGAACCGGGGGCTCATTGCCTCCCAGGGCAGCTGGTCCCAGGCCTGGCCAGATTTGATTGGTGGGAAAATCTTTCCTGGGACTGAACAGAAGTCCTCCTTCTCTCCCCTTAGTCACATGTCACCACGGATTCTTGTGTTGCCCTTTGAGCCAGAGTAGCACATGCCAACTTCCTTTGCTACTCACAGCTCCCTAGAATGTCACTAGACGGGGCTCTTAGAGAGGAAGGGACTGAATTCCAGTCCTAGCTGTGCCACCTCTAGCTTACTTAAAACCTCTGATCTCAGTTTTCTCATCTATACAATGGGAGTAGGCCAGACTTCAAGTAAAGTTCTTTCCAACTCTCACATTCCATAATGTTATGACCCGTGGGTCTCCAGGTTCTAATGCTGACCTGTGTGACACCAGAGGTGCACGGAATTACGAGTCCTCAGAACTGTGACATCTGTCAGTCTGCACCTTCCTTTAGTCTCCTTTGTCCACAGGTAGCTCCTTTCACCTTTTCTTATTTGTTAGAGTTCCCAGATCAACTCACTCTTCTCGCCTTCTTTCTAGGACAGTGGCTAGTTTGAAATCAGTCAGTCCCCTAAAATAAGCACATATGAAAAACAATATTCTAAATGTTGTCTGAGCAGCTTAGAACATAGATTGCTACTTCCAGAGACCTCCAATACTGTGGCTGAATGCTGTGTTCTTAAAAAGGAGTGGCCCCTGCCCTCGCCGGGTGTTCAGTGGTTAGAGCATCAGCCAGTGCACCCAAGGGTTGTGGGTTTGATCTACGTGTATAGGAAGCAACCAATCAATGTTTTTCTCTCTATCTCCCCTCCCCCCCAACTCATCCCCTCCCTTCCACTCTCTCTAAAAATCAATGGAAAAAAAATACCCTCTGGTGAGGATTAACAACAACAAAGAGTGGTCTCTCTCTTTTTTTTTAATAGAGTGGCCATATTGCACTTTTATTTTTTTTTAATCCTCATCAGAGGATATGTTTTTATTGATTTGAGAGAGAGAGGAAGGGAGTGGGGGAGAGAGAGAGGAGGCTTATGGGCCCTGACAGGGATTGAATCCTCAACATAGGTATGTGCCCTGACCAGGAATTGAACCCACAGCCATTTTTGGTGTATGGTACGATGTTCCCACCAATGGAGCCACCTGGCCAGGGCCACATTAATACTATTGTAGTAACTCGTAGGTCACGTTTGAACTCCTGCCAAGCCAGGACAACCCCAGCCCGAACGTGGTCATTGGCTTTTTGAACCTAAGTAAAGAACTTAACATTTCTCTCTCTTACATTGTGTCATAATGGTTGGTTCTCCACCCCCTGCCCCATCATGGGATCCTACCTCTCCCTGGTCCCCACATTCCCCAAACCTTGACTTCTACACAGGCTTTGAGATGGGGACCGTTTCAAAAGCTCCTGTTTCTAGGTGCCACTCCTCTTGGATTCAAGGGCTATTCCTGCGCTCAGATTGGCAGACTTTTCCCTCTGGGACCAAGTCCTTTGCTCCTTTAACCAAATCGATGCTTTACTGAGGAATTTGTAGAGAAGAGGAGGAAGTGGTGGAAGGGTTGGAGAGTTTCAGGGAGATTATGTTTTCTGGCAACTGAATTTGGCAAAGAAGTAGGCGGAGGGAAGGTGTCAGAGGCCTAAGAGGGGGACTGAATGTTACTTCCTTTGACTGCCGGGCATTCTGTTAGCAGCCATGGTAAGTTCTGCCCGAAGGTCCAGGTACCCCCTCCTGGGGCGTGGAGGAGCTCACCTGCTCTGAGATCTTCCTTCTAAATTTTCTACCAAAGACCCCTTCTCTGCTGGTTGCTACATCTGGAGTTAACAATTGTGTAGGTGAAGGCCAGGGTTTTTTAGGGATAGTGCAAGAAAGCAGCTCAAGCCAGGTGGAGGATGATAGAGGATGGGAAGCCAGGGGCAGAGAGGGAACTGGCCCAAGAAAAAAACAGCTGGGCTGTTTCTTTCAGAACCCACATTCTTGTGCCTCATTCTCACGTTGATCCCAAATTGGAAAGTAATTCACATTTAGAGGACGCAGCTTTGCCTGAGTGAAGAGGTAAATGCTATGAGGTGAGACTTTGCTGCAAGCAGGGCTCCACTCCTGCCCCCTGCTGGTTCACTGGGCAGCTCCTTCCCTCCCTTGTTCTGCATTCAAGACCATCCACTGGTCTTTCCTGCTCAGCCCAAGGTTGTGGCCCCTGGGCCTCCATGGCAGGCTACCACCAACAGATTCCAGGCTGCTGCTGATGCAGGGGCCTGGGGCCATTCTTGGGCTCATGAGTGATGTTCCTTGCTCTCCTCCAGGAGACTCTTCTGCCTGGTGTCTGCCAAGTGTATTTTTCAGAGCAGGGACAGCAAAAGGCTTTGCTTTGTCCTTGTTCTCTCTTATTAAAGATCCCTGGTACCTGGGGTTCCAGCTGCCTCCCTGGCTCCTCTTCTAGCTCCCGCTTCTCTCCCACATGGTGATGATATGCACTTGTGTCCATCCACATCCCTTCTCCTTGCATTCTTCTTTTTTTAAAAAATATATTTTTATTGATTTCAGAGAGGAAGGGAAAGGGAAAGAGAGAAACATCAATGATGAGAGAGAATCATTGATCGGTTGCCTCCTGTGCGCCCCCTGCCAGGGGTTGAGCCCACAACCCGGGCATGTGCCCTAACAGGGAGTCGAACCATGACTTCCCGGTTCATAGGTTGACGCTCAACCACTGAGCCATACTGGCTGGGCTCCTTGCATTCTTCTGACAGGTCATTGTATTTGGCAAGAATGGAGTGAAATTGAGTCTGTCCATAAAAACCTTGCCTGTGGTTTGTTTCATCATTATTCTTGAGCAATCCTTTTCCTGTCCACTCCACTTCCCCCTCCCACTCCCCGACCCCTGACCACAGGCATAGTATGGAAAGGGTCATTTTGACTTGTGCCCTCTAGATCCTGCCTCCGTCAGCGGGGCTGTGGCTTGAGGGGACTGGATGCAGATGGCAGGAGGTGGGAATCTTGAGGGGAGGGGCCATGGGAAATCTAGGCTGGCGTTTCAGGTGAAATAGGGCAGGAAAATGACAGGAGAAGAGACTCTCAGGTCCCCCATCATGGAGAAAACAAAAGGAGTGTGCCCTGGGCTTTTTGTTTTTGTAAACGGTTGTACCAATTTACACTCCCATCCGCTGTATGGGAGCATCCCCGTCAGCATTGAGTGTCCACGCTTCAGAGCATCCCTGCTAAATGGAGAGGTGAAACTGACATTCTGCACTGGCTTTAATGTGCATTTCTTAAATTATTAGTGAGTTTGAACTTTTTTTTTCAAATATTTATCCACTATTTGCATTTATTTTTTTGTGTGAATTGTCTTTTCACGGCCATTTAAAAATTGTGGTAAAATATGCATAACATATAGTTTACCATTTAAGTGTTCGGTTTTGTGCATGGTTGTGCATGCAACATCACCACCTTCCATCTCCAAAACCTCTTCTTCTTCCCCAGCTGAAACTCTGTACCCCTTAAACAGAAACTCCCTCTTCCTCCCTCCCACCCCTAGCCCCTGGCAACCACCCTTCTTCTTTCTGTCTCTATGACCTTGGCAATTCTAGAAACTCATATAAAGGAATTGAACGATATTCGCGACTGGCTTATTTCACTTAGCGTGAGGTCCTCAAGGTTTATCCCTGTTGTAGCATGTGCCAGAATGGCCTTTCTTTTTATTGCTGAATAATATCCCATTGTGTGTACATGCCCCATCTTGTTTATTCATTCACCTGGTTTGCTTCTACCTTTTGGGGCCATTAAAAAAAAAGGACAGATTGATTGATTTATTATTTTTATTGATTTCAGAGAGGAAGGGGGAGGGAGAGAGAGAGAGAGATACATCAATGATGAGAGAGAATCATCGATCTGCTGCCTCCTGCACACCCAACACTGCAACCCGGTCCCTGACCAGGAATCGAACCGTGATCTCCTGGTTCATTGGTTGACATTCAACACTGAGCCATGCCAGCCGGGCCAGTTGTTTTTTTCTCGAGGCCCCAAAGTTTTCTCATCACCTTGTGTGAACACTTCATGAATTAAGGAGGTTAACGCATGGTCCCAGAGGGAAGTGGATGGTTTCATCCTCTTTTATTAGGGTGAGAAGGCATCTCAGGAATGCTCCCGAGTGTCCAGGGACTCAAGTGCTGCTGATTCTGTTTTCCTGAAAAGTGAAGACATATCAGGCCTCCCCGTTGTCCGCCCCTGAAGGCACACTTCAGACGATAATAACACAGCTCACACTTAGAGAGCACCCAGTGCCAAGCCCCAAGGTGCAGGTTGTATACGTAGGTTATAGAATCCTCATAGCCAGCCCAGCAGGTTTGGAGTAGGTGATATTCTCCTGTTTTATCGGGAAGGTAACAGAGGCTTAGAGAGGTCATGTAGCTTGACCAGGGTCCACAGCCAGCAGGTGACAGAGCAGGGACTCCAACCTCGTTGTGTTGGACGCGTCATCACAACTGAAGGAGCCCACCTGGTTAATAGTTCATCGTCCTGTGGAGGCATTGGCAGCCTGAGGGGCCGGTTGGGAGCTGAGTCCCAGCCTGAGTCTCAGTCAGCGCTCCCAGATGTCAGAGTTGTAGCCAGATGACATCATCCCCTCAGCAGCCTCGGCCCCTCTTCCTGCCACAGCTCTGCTCCTCAGCTGGGGTTTGGGGAATGTGGCCACTCGCTCTCAGCAGGGGCTGAGGTAAACAGGCAGCTGTTCTTAAAAACCTTTGGGCGCCACTGAGCTTCTATTCTGAGGACCAGCTGCCGCCTGACTCCCACCCCGTCATCCGGCTCTTGTGGGCTCTGTTGGGTTTGCTGGAGTTGAAATAATTTGGTGGTTGGCCCCCACGGCCGGCTGACTCAGAACCCCGTTTCTCTGGCCACCTCAGGGCTGTGGTCAACAGATGCCCCTCTGGGGATCCCTCAGGTGGCCCGTGCTTCTATGGGGCATTTCCCTGTGCTTACCAGCTTTTCTATTAAATAGGTACTCTTCTGTGTGGAAGCATGCTCATGACTTAATAAACTGTGTCATCCTGCCTTTCTCTCTGTGCCCCTCCCACTTTGTGCCTGCTCTAGAGCTGGGAACACAGCAAGTACTAAAGAGATGTTTGTGCGCATCTCCCCTTCTCTCTCTGCTTCTCTGCGGAATTTTTGACACGTTCTTACACAGAATTCCCGGTTTGGGTATATCAGTGGATGTTATTGCACACACACAAAAATAAGGACAAGCCAGATACTTCTTGGTGTTTGTTAGGGCAGAAAACACAAAGGTACACTTCATTTTTTAAAAAAATATGTTTTTATTGATTTTAAAGAGAGAGGAAGGGAGAGGGAGAGAGAGAAATATCAATGAGAGAGAAACATTGATTGGTTGCCTTCTGCATGCCCTCTATTGGGGATTGAGCCCACAAAGCAGGCATGTGCCCTTATTGGGAATCAAATCAGCGACCTCTCAGTGCATGGGATGATGTTCAACCAACTGAGCGACACAGGCCACAGCTACACTTCATTTTTTGACTGTGTGTGTGTCGGGGAGGGTGAGGGGCATGTGAGCAAATGTTCCAATTTGCTCCCAAAAAAGACTCTCCAAGACAAGAATGTGATTTGAGTTGATATGTTGTAATCGAAATGTAGTTCACAGAACAGCTGTGTGTGCACACACTCTTACATTCACACACACACAGCACCTTGGCTGTGAAGTAGGAAGTGTGACTAGTTTCCTTTCTGTTGAAGGGGCAGTTGCTGTGAAGTAGGAAGTCTCAAAGCCAAGAGAGAATAGAGGCACAGAGAGGAAAAGAATGTCAAGTAGCATTATAAGTAAATGCAGCCTGGGGTACAGAAGTATGAGCAGCCCTCTCCATTCCCCCTCCTCCTCCCACCCTCCTCAGGCCCAGGGCCAGCATACCCTCCAGCTTCACTGGGGCCTGAACCCAGGGAGCTGGGAGAGCTCTGGTTCCCAGCAGGCTGCCCAGCACTGTCCCCAAGTCAGTTGACCAGCAGCTTCACTGTCCATCAGCTAAGCCCTAAATCCCCAGGGCCTCCCTTTCCCTGTTTTCTCCCAGGATGGAACTAATCTGTCCCGAGGCCCTTTCTGCTCCTTCCTAAGCACATAGGCCTGCAGGAGCCTCCTCTCCTTCCTGACAACGCACTGCAGGGGCCTCAGGCCCACATGAGCCGAGTGCCTCTGCCCCCAATGGCCCTACCCCACCAGCGAGGCCGAGGATGAGAGACTGAGAAACATACAGGGGGAGAGAAAGCAAAAATCGTCCCTCACTTCCCAGGAGTGACTGGATTGGAAGCCCCAGCCTGTTCTCACTCCCAGCCTCGTTGGCAGCCTGCTCAGCGCTGAGTGCTGTCTGAGCTCTAAATTCCAGACAAGAGGCGCCTACCTCCCCCTCTTGCGTCCTTGCCTGCCATTGCTCCTTTCTCCTCCCTGCAGGGCTTAGCACTCTTCCCTGCAGGACTTGTAGACACTTGGTGAATGTTGACCAAGAGGCAGACTAGGAAACCAAGAGGTGGCTGGGTGGCCCTAAGGGGAAAAGGGTGAGGTGGCTCATGAGTCAGAGGAGCTGCACTTACCTGGGAAGAGTGAAGGCAAGAGGGGACTCTTTCCTCATCCATCTGGGTCTTCTAGACTCATAGGAGGGAGGAGATGGGCATTGCAGGGAGTGGTGTTGAGAAGAAATGGCGGCCAAGGCGCCCAATATTGCATTTCTTCAGGGCACCATTCATCTTGCGTTCAATGGTGCCCTGGAGTGGGGCACATAGAATGGGTCACACCAACCATGCAGCAAAAGGTTCAGTCATGCAGTAAACAATGTGAGGGTTAATAGAGCGCCTCTGTGAACATCCTGGGCCAGGCTCAGTGGGGGACACTATAAGACATGGTCCTTGGCCTCAGTGAATGGCTGAGGCTCCCTGGGAGGCTGGCTGTGTTCTCACTCACAATACACAGAAGGCCATAGAGAGTAGAGAGTCACTGTGACCCACAGTGGAGTGTGTGTAGAAGGAATGCAGAGAGGGAGGACTTCAGCAGGGGACCAGCTGGTGTGGGGAAACCTTGTCCAGGAGGTACCACTTGAACAGGTGACCATGGCAGGGTGGCCATCTGCTCCCAGGAGCAGTTCTCCGGTGGTCTCATTCCTGGGCCTGCCACCAAGCACTGGGCCCCAAAAAGATCTCTCTCTACTTCTCTGCAGCCTTCAATACCCCAGGTTCCAAACTACAGGCTGTCGATGACGATCCCAGACTGGCTCCAGGCAATTCAGAACTACATGAAGACACTACAGTATCCTTCCCACGAGGGTCTGAGCAGACACAGCCAGGGGATGGGCATGGTGATTGCAAGCCTGATGGCCTGTCTTTCCCCAGCTGGTCAGCAAATACTCTCTAAGGTTGGTGAGGCCGGCATGGAGGGAGGCCACTATGTGAGAGTCTAGAAGGAGGGATAACAGAGGATGTAATTACAATGATCAGACCCCGCCCTTTTTAGCAGGATGTGAGCCAGGATGGCGAGACAGTGGTGGGCCACCTCGAGCCCCTCTGCCTTCCAGCTCCTCTTTCTCCACTTCCTCCTCCTCAGTCATCTTTCCCTCTTTCTTCCTCTGCAGTCTTTCTCCCTCTTCCCTCCTAGTCTTCTGTTCCTTTTCTTTCCTCTCTCACTTTTTGCCTTCATCTTGACTGCTCATAATCTACTGGAGGCCCAGCTGGCGCTGCTTTTGGCTCCCCGAGTGGCCTCAACTGGTGGCCTTACTCCGTTCCTTGTGACTGAATGGGGCTCTCTCCCCTCATTTGAGCTTGAAATAGAGCTGGGGATCCCGTGGGTCCAGGCTGGGTTCAGACCAGCCAGACTGTTTTTCTTCACCTCCAGGGTTCCCAGGTTGTTTGCAGTCAGGTTAGATCAGTTCTGAGGGTCTGTGGCAGCAACATTGTCAGGACAAAGGGGCAGAGGCGGATGGCCCACTGGCTGCTCTGGTGTTTTATCAGGGATAGGAGTCAGAGGGGAGCTGGGCTGGCAGAGGTATGTGTGAGAGGGACAAGCCATTTGCCCAAGCAAGTCGGTAGCATCTCAGAGCTAAGCCAGCATCAGACGCCCTGTAGACCCCCAGCACATTGTCCAGGATGCCACGCCTCTTCTGGCCTCTTCCCTAAAGACCTAGAATGTAGCAGAAAGGATTTCACGGGCACTGGCCTGTATCCCACGTGCTCTCTGTGCTATAGGCAAGAACCTTTCCTGTGGATTTATTGTGACTTCCTTGAAGGGATGAATACTACCAGGTGGGAACAACACCAGTTCTGCTGTTTGGGTAGGCAGATTACTCAATTAGCCTCTCAGTTTCCACTTTACAGATTATGAACTCCCCCACAGGGCATCTTCCCAGTGGGATCCTGAAGCGGTGTTAGAGGGAGAAGGTAGCGCCACCCTCTGCTCCAGCCCTGGGAGTGTATTGATCCCCAAACTGGGACCCCACCTAGGGAGCTTTGTGTGGTCCAGAAGCATAAACTCCTACCAGGGTAGACTTGGACCCCAAGAGCTGAGCCTTCCTGGATGTGACCGACTTCCTCACAGAACATTCCAGAAAGCAACAGAAATTAGAATGGCTCCTTCCTTCTGTCTATGACATGGGCTTCACAAGGACCACTTGAGCAGAGATGAAAGAGAATGAGCCTGGTGGGGAGAATTTGCATTCTCTGGTAAACCCAGCAGCACACCCTTAGCCAGGTATTCATTGTTGCCCCGAAGGAGCTGCTTTTGCACTTTTCTCTGATGCATTATGATGATCACCGACCCAGGTCACTGACTGAAGGGAAGGCCCGGCCGGCTGCTGGACTGGGCTCCCTGTCACCTGACCATTGGAGCCACCACATAAAGAAAGCAGAGGGTGGTCTTTGTTCTAGCTTCTGTCCAGACTTTCACTTAGTTCCTTGGGATTTCCTATTGCTTTGTCCTGAGCAACATGACCGGTGCTAGAGTACAGGGACCTTTCGGGGCCAGTCCTGACTATAGATGTGTGCAGTGGGTAGTAGCGATATGGAAAGACAAATCCTGCCTTCCCGTCTGACAGCCTCAGGGTCTTGGCCAGCGGGAGTGCTGATTTTGCACTGTGTTCTGGGAAGAGGTGTCACTGATTGTGCTGTTGGTACACTCGGTCTGTGAGTCTCTCTCCCTGAAGGCAATGTTTATAGGAATTCCCTCCCCAGCTCACTTGCAGGTGCTGAAAACTCTTAGGAATTGAGAAAAGATGGCCAGATAATTTTTCATTATTTTATTACCGTGAGTTTGTCTCACTTTATGTACAAGATGTACAAACTAGATATACATACAGGGAAAGTTGGGCATATGCATTGCATTTTTGCCATTTGAATTCTACTCTAAATATACCAGAATCTCATGGTTTGAATGGCATCTTTGGTAAAGTAAAAAAATCACCTAACAATGAGAGTAGATTTTTTTTCTTCTACATCTAGGGTTTTGTATATTATTTTTCTAAAAACTAGGCAAGCCTATATTGTTATTGGTTATTCTTATGTCCGTGCCAGTACTTTCCAAACTGTGTGCTTATTAAAATCAGCCCCTGGTCCTCGCCCTGGAACTTCCAATTTAACAGTCCAAGATGAGGTGACTCTGAATGGCATTTAGGGTTAAAACCATGGCCTGAAATCAAAATCTCCCAAGGTCGAGCACAGAATGTGCTTATAATGAGCTGCTCAGGTGGTGGTTCCGTGTGCTCGTGTCTGAGTGCCAAGCACATCTGTGGCAGGGAGGACTCCCAGCCCTTCTCAGGAGGGTGTTTAGCACCACCCTCTGCAGCTGCCTCCACCACAGTAGGGGCACACATCTAACCTCATACACCCTCCCTGCCTGGGCTACAAGTTCACGGTTCATTAGCAATTCCCAAACATGCTCTTTTTAAATAGAATTTTGTTTGAGGCAGTATAGGGAAATGCACAAAGCAACGTTTTTCAGGCTCAGAAAAATTAAGATCCAGTCTCAGAGAAGAGAGCATGACATTAGGGAATCTTTGTCATTCAGAATGACCTGGTGCAGGCTCTCCAGTCCCTGAGACCGTCTGGGCAACTAGCTAAATCCAAGGCTGTGGATAATGTCATCTCACATTTAGTAATCAATGTCAAGTGTCAGTTCAGGCATGAAATGAAAGTAAGCTCTGCTGCAGTCTGAGAAACTCTACTGCCATCCATCTACTCTTCCGTATATATTTATTCCCTTCTTCTTTCCTTCCTTCATTCATCCATCTATCCAGCCAGCCATCCACCCATCCACTTACCCTTCTATCTATCCAACCATTCATCCACCCTTCCATTCATCAATTATATTCATCCTTTCTTCCTTTCATCCATTCACCCATTCATTAATCCATCATCCATTCATCTACCTTTCCACCCATCTATCCATCTATTTATCCATCCATCTGTCTACGCATTCATTTACTTATTCCTCATTCACTAGATTTATGCCGGGCTTTATGGTTGATATAAAGATGATAAACAAATGGTCCCAACTCTCAAAGAGCTTTTAGTCTAGTAGATGAATTAAGACATGTATTCAACTAACCAGGATACAGAGCAGATTGAATATGGCTATTCTAAAGGTCCAAGGTGCTTTGGGGCCTAAATTAGAAGTTAGATTTCCAGGCAGGACAGTGGAGGATGTTGACTACCTTCTGGCTACTGGACACCTGGAAAGCTCTCACTTCCTCCTCTCATTGGGAAATCAATGCATAGCTTCCTCCGTTGGATTCCTGGGACTTTGGAGTTTTCTCTTACTTTCCCTTTACATACTTCACACAGATACAATCATACAGGGACGCAGTTCTTTGAAATTAGAAAAATGAGGCCACTGAGTGGGTAAGTGGTGCATGATCTGTGGGCCAGGTGACCTCTTTCCTACCTGAAAGCTGCTAACTCCCTCTCCCGCCCTCCATCCCTGTATCCCAGTGCTCACTTTCCTGGTCTGTAAGGGGTGGAGACGGGGTGTGGATTGGGGGTGACCCAGGGCCATGTTGGAGGTGGGGCTTGGGTCTGTACCACCCTGACAGCTGAGCTCAGTGGTGGAGACTAACTCGTTCAGGGGGTGGGGGATGCCTATGAAATGTGTTTCATGTGGCCTCCTTTACTCCATGTGATGCCCCTAGTCCAGGGGCAATGGGAGGACACTATGGAATATGGCCACTAACATCCAGGAACTAGCTCTTGGAGAGAGGAGTGGAGAATTTAGGATTTTATTTCTGCCAAGTGCATATGTGCTTTGGTGCCCTCCTGCAAAGTGGGTCCTCCCTTTTCCCTCTGTATTCCTACATGGTGCCTAGTGTGAGGACAGGCATGCTGACCGATTGACAGACAGACAAGTTGCATTATTAAGTAAGTCCTGAGACCCTTTGCTGTGCTCTATCCTACAGGTTAATGGAAACGGCGAAAGAAATGACTCGAGAGTCCTTGCCTATTAAATGCCTTGAAGCTGTCATCCTGGGCATGTATCCTTTAAGTTATGTTTGCTTAAGTTTAATCCACAGATGGACGGTGGCCTCACTGTGGGGCTGGTGTGCTTTTAATGTCCTAGGTCCACAGAGGTGATGACTAAGCTCCCCTGTTGTGTCTCTTTAATGTCCACCATCTGGAGTTGAACCAAATCAGAGCTTGGCTCCTTGGACCATCATCACTGTAACCTGTTAGCTAAAGCTTGTGTCAGGGCCAGCTCTTAGGCCGGCCTCACTAGTCGTAAGGAGAATTCTAACGTGGAGGGACTAGAGAGAGAGAGTGCAGAGAGAGAGTGCATCATTGTATTTTGCATTCATCTGGCTTCGCAACAGGAAAGGCACTCAAGGGGAAATGGGGTCCTCCAAACCCATCTCCAGGGAAATTTCTGAGAGTGGATTGTGGAAGAGACCGTGTAGTGGTGTAGTGTCCTGACTGCAGAACATAGAGCTGAAACCAAGGTCTGGTCTCTCTCACACCCTCTGTTCCATTTTCCACCACACTCCTGGCTCCTCAGCTGAATATGGCCCAGAAAACTGTGATGGCACTGACGTACTAGTGGTGAAGGCAGTAGAACATGATCTGATAGAAGAGCAAAGAAACTCCCAGTCCTTTGGGGTGTTGGCTAGAAGGGCCTGTGACCAAGAGAACATGGCAAGATGTGGGCTTAAGAGGTGGTCCCAGGTCAGACCAGTTAGGTCCTTGGGTGCTGTGCCAAGAAGTGTGACGTTTTGCAAAAAGGCAATGGGCAGCCCAGGTGAAAGCTCTGGAGCAGAGCTGTGACATCATCAGGGGTGCGCTTCAGAGAGGTAATCCTTAGGGCAGGTTGAAGGCGGACGGGAAGGCTGGGGCTGGATCTGCAGAGCCAGGTAGGAGCTGTTACATGAGGGAAATGGTGGTGCTTGAACCATGGTCCTGGCAACAGGAATGGATTGGAGAGACAGTTTGAAGAGATATGAAGGAGATAGAATTTGCAGGCCTTGGAGGCCAGCTAGGTGTAGAAGCTGATGAGGAAGGGATCAGCAAATACAGGTTTCTGGATTAAGCGACAGTCTGTGCAGGAGGAGCTGGAGGGGTGAGAATGACAGACAGGTGAGATACGTCAGCACAGATGTGAACGAAGACAGCAGCAGTGAAGGTGAGGAAGGCGTTGGGGGTGTCATCAACTTGTGGACCGATCAGATGTGAGGAGTTAGAGGAGAAAGAGGCGGTGACTCCACATTTCTGGCTTGGAAAACCGGGGGATGGGATGATCCTTCAACAGTCCAAGGGAAGGACTTAAAAAGGAGGATTAGGTTTATGGGGAGATGAGTTCAGATTTGGCTGTGTTGGATTTGAGGTGCCTGTGGGATGCCGGGTGGGGTATTGGGAGTGTGGAGCTCAGGAGGGGCTCAGCGCCAGAAATGCCACTTTGGGAGCCGTGTGTTCAAGGGGTGGCAGGTGCTGTTCATGGAGAAGAGAAAAACCTCAAGGATGAAATCTCATTATTTTTTGGTCTAGTTGACACAAAAAGCCCATAAACGACACTGACAAGGACAACTCCAAAGGTAGAAGGTAATCCGGCAAGGAGATACAGAAATGAGCGGAAGGATGGGTGGCTGAGAATCAGACGGGACAGTGGGACATTTTTATGGAAAGGGGACTTTCCGCCCTTCTGCAGTCTGCAGAGCACTGGCAGGCCTGGTCTGAACAAGATTGTCCACAGGTGCCCGGGCTGACATTTCAAGAGTGGAAACTTGAGCCTTACAGAAGCCCCTCCCCAACCCCCTGTCAGACCTCCTCCCTGCTTCTCACAGAGATGAAAGGGGTGTCTGGGGAGTCCAGCAGGAGTGCAGGACCAGGGTGGGTGGGGGCAGCAGTTGGCTCAGGGCCCCACTCCCCCCCGTGGCAAGAGGCAGCACAGCTGTTGGGCAGAGCCTCCTGCAAGTTTAATGGGGGTGAACAGTTGTTGGGGATTTGCTGGGGGAGATCAGAGAAGGAGATCACAAACGCAGACCCTTCGCTGGGTGGACAGTTCCCTTCAGACGGCCTGCTGATGGATGTCCGAGTGCACCTGGGCCATCTTGCTTTACGACAGTCATGCACACAGTAGACTTGACCCTGTGCAAATTTATAAATTCAAGCCTTACTTTAAGTTACAGGGATTACCTAAAAACTTTTAGGCCTGGCCAAGGTGGCTCAGTGGTTGAGCATCGACCTATGAACCAGGAAGTCACGATTCGATTCCCGGTCATGGCACATGCCCAGGTTGCAGGCTCGATCCCCAGTGTGGGGTGTGCAGGAGGCAGCTGATCAATGATTCTCTCTCATCATTGATGTTTCTATCTCTCTCTCCCTCTCCCTTCCTCTCTGAAACCAATAACAATATATATATATTAAAAAACAACAACAACTTAGAATTGTGGGGCTAGACCAGGGGTGGGCAAACTTTTTGACTCGAGGGCCACAATGGGTTCTTAAACTGGACCGGAGGGCCAGAACAAAAGCATGGATGGAGTGTTTATGTGAACTAATATAAATTCAAAGTAAACATCATTACATAAAAGGGTAGGGTCTTTTTTTTTTTTTATGGTTATTCTTGGTGTTGGAAGCCCCTGCCATTTCTTTTCTCTTTGCCCTAGAGGACAAATATCTTGACTGAAGTTTCAAAATGGATTGATGTGATACAGGAGAGAAGATTCTCTCCCCAGTTCCTCCTACACCTGATTTAAGGAAAGTGTGGGGAGGGTGGAGTAATTCGGCTCTCACTGCCGAACTCAGGGAAATTTGACCCTTGGGCACAGACAAGAAACGAAGGGCTGCGAGAGGTGAGGATCACCGGAAGAGCTAAAGCCCCAAGCCCCTCCCTCCCTCTCTAGATCCCTGCTTCCGCCAGGGGCCACACTAGCACCCCAACACCCCGGTTCCCAGAGGTGTGTCCAGAGAAAAGGAGCTTTTCACTCGCCCAGGGCCTTCATCTCGTAGGCCTTTCTCCAGGTAACCTTGCTGTGGGTGAGGAGAAAGTGACGAATTTTGTTATGACTCAATAATTCCGCCAACGCTGGGGACCCTACTATAGTATGGTCAGGGCGCAGTAGGGTTGGGGACTCTGTCACCGAGTTATTATTTCAGCAATGACATAAGGCCATCGAGTCATTTCTAAATGTGTTGGGTGCCATGATGCGGCTTAGGAGTGGCCCAGAGAGTGGAAAATGCCTTAACAGGCAAGAGGCCCATCAGCTGTGGGGCCCCAGGCCATCTGTGTGTGGGTAATTTTAGTGGCTGTACATCTCCCCTCCTCCCCGCAGCAGGAGCCTCTGCCAGCCCTGCATTCCTCCCTATTTTTGCACTTGTCGGAATAATCCTGGCAAGGAGGATCCGTGTCACTGGGTTGACAGTCAGCTGAGTGGCACGTAACAAAGGGTGCACTAGCGCCAGCTGAGACAGTCTCAGAGGGAAACGACTCCCCCACTCTCCACCCACCAGTCCTTTCTCATACTCTCTCCCTGAGGAGAGCTTAAAGCACCTTCCACGCGGAACAGTCGAGTGGTTCCTGTGGTTTTTAGAGACAGGGAAATGGAGGTTGAGATCCCTGTTTAAAAGGTCTCCTGTGAACTCAATTAAACCTCTGTCTTCACAGTCAGTTCCCTCCTAGCTCTTTCTTCACAGAGGGGCGTCCACAGTGGTTCTCAACAGGGGCCAGGACGCCCTCTGGAGAAGGGTTAGAAATGCGGTGGGAGGGGAAGTGAGAGGGTGCTCCCCTCTAGGGTCCCGGGGTGCCAGGGACCGTAAATGTCCTAGGGAACTCAGGACCATCCTCCCCAGTAAAGAACCAGTCCACCTAAAATGCAGCAGCGGCCCCACTGAGAAACCCGAATGCCATTTGGGGTCCTTTCCAGTTCTGACAGCCCTCGCTCCATGCTTGCTGCCTGTGACCTGGACCTGGGAGGATAGAGGTGAGGGGACAGTGGCTTTCTGGCTGGCCTGTCTGTGTTAGCATGGAAGCAACTCGTACCCATTGGAGTGACACATGGAACGTTCTTCCAAATTGAAGCAAGAGTCACTGAGGACGCACCAGAACCTCTGTCTTCTCTCCCCCATCTGGCTCCTTTGTCCTCTGTCCCTCCTTCACTCTTCGTTGCTGTTCATGATTCTTTTCCTCTCTTTTTTCTTCCTCTTTGATTTGCCTTCTTCGTCATTCACTCTATAGGGAACAATTCCCGTCTTTATCCTTCTGTGAAGGGGCCAACCCCATGGTTCTTTCCTGCTGTTTCTTTCCTGTGTGCCTCCTTCACTTCTCACACAGACACGTCCTCTCTGCTGGTTACCAGATGTGTGGTTTCCCCCACACCAAGCAATTCTCGGTGACGCCAGCTGGGTGTCCTACTCAATTCTGACACGACCTACCAGCTGGGTATAACTCAGTTCTGACACTACCTACCAGGAGGTAGCGTCAGACCTCACAGATTAAGGGCCCAGCCCCACAAGACTACCCCCAACACATGCACTTCAGATGCCAGTCGAAATCCCAGGTTATCACTGATGCTTCTGACCAACAAGCTCTAGATCAGAGGTTCTAAGGGCCCCCTCCTCAGGTTCAGTTTATTTGCCAGAGCGGCTCACTGAACTCAGGGAAACTCACCTGTGTTTACCAGTTGATTAAGAACACAGGTGATCAGCAGGATGAAGTGTTGCATAGGGTGAGAGGTCCCCATGGAGTTGGGCCTGTCACCCTTCCAGTGTGGATGTTGTTCACCAGCCTGGAAGCTCTCCGAACCCCATACTTTTGGGAAATTTTTGGAGGCATGATTGATCATGAGCTCCATTTTCAGCCCTTATCTCTTCTCAAGAGAATGGGGAGGGGTAAAAATTCCAAGCTTCTAATCATGGCTTGGCCTTTCTGATGACCGCCCCCAGCCAGGAGCCCCTCCACAGTCACCTCTTTACTACAAAAGATGTGCCTAGTGCTCTAGTCACTTGGGAAATTCCAGTGGTTTTAGGAGCTCTGTGCTGAAAATGGGGTTGAAGCCCATATT